TCTTTCAATGAGAATCCCTGTAACCCCTATGTTTTGCTGTTTTAAATCCCAATTACGCGTGCACTAAACAATAATAGCTATGGATACAAACTCGACAAGAATGCAATCAATCACATACTCTGCATGGATGACCTCAAACTCTTTGCCACAAATGACAATCAGTTGAAGGCTCCCCTCAATAATGTAAAATGTTTCAGTGATGATATATGTATGGATTTCGCATTAGATAAATGTGCAAAACTAACATTCAAAAAAGGGAGAATTACAAAAACAAATTCAATAGTTTTAGATTGTCAGTAAAAATTTAGAGAATTTGAACAAGAAGAAAGCAATAGGGACCTAGGAATTAGCTAAAGAGATAGATTACAGCATCGGCAAATGAAGAAGAATTTAACTACAGGCGTGTGCGTCTAGTACTGAATACTAAACTGAATACAAAAAAAAATAACATAATATAAGCCATAAACACTTTGCTTGTCCTTATGATGCAATAGAGTTTCAACATCCTTAACTGGGATATAGCTGGCATTAATCGTGTGGACGTCAAGACAAGTGTTTCTCACTTGCCAACGCATGAATCATCCCAGGGATGATGTTATTGTATGTGCCCAGATCCGAAGGAGACAGAGGTTTAGTTCAACTAGAACTGTATTACAAATCTACAACAGCTGACCTTCAAAGATAACTGGAATCGACAAAGGACAGTATGATAATCTATGTCAAAGAACATTAAATATATAAGAAACTTTATTCCACAATAAAATAAGCAAACAAATTCAAAATGGAGTTTCAATTCGGTGAAGAAATGCAAATAAAGCATAATACACCGATTGTTGCTGCAAAATAGTTTCAAAAGAAAGCAAAGGCAAATGCAACCGACCAGATACATAAACAATGAAAAGATAAAAAGATTAAGACTCAATACTCTGCTCGCACCAAAGAAGATGATGTGGAAAAACCCCGTACGCATCAGTGGTTACCGAGTACAGGATTAAAAGCTGAAACCAAAAACTTTTACACTTGTTGCACAGGACCAAAGCACCCTAACTAGAACTTACCAAACACACATGATGAAAAATTGTTAGCCCAAAATTCAAGTTCTGTGATAAATATCCAGAAACAATTGACCATCTTGTATCAGGTTGCATGCTACTGGCATCCACTAAATATAAAATCCGTCATGACAGAGTGGGCCAATTTCTGCACTGGGTAACTCTACAACTACTAAGGAAAGGAAATTGAAAGAAATTGATATGAACCGCACCCAGAGCCAGTTACGCAGATAGGGGCCTGTAATAATTTTATGGGACTTTACAATACACACAGACAGAACAATCAAAACTAACCAACCAGTCATTTGATTACAGGCCGCAACCACAAAATGTTCCTTCTTATTGACATGACAATCTCTGCAAACTGCAGTGTATCATTGAAAATTTTCAAAAATACATTAAAATACAAAGATATTGAACTCTGAATCTTAAAAATGTGGCTCTTAAGGACACCAACAATTCCCGTAGTATTTGGAGCCCTTGGCTTGATTAGAAATTATTCCAATATACTCATTGAAGCCATTCCTTAGAGAAATACAAAAAGATATTATCACAAGTACAGCCAACGTCTTACGAAAATATATGTGACTTTTGTAAAATACATGTGATTCTTTTTTTTCCTTTTTTTTTTCGAAAATTCGCTGTGGAAAATGTCATGATGCAATTTCTAAACTTAGGTCTCTGGTCGGGACCCGGAAAGTGATAAGTATGCATCATAAATCAAAGGAAATTAAATAATAACATAGCAAGCAAGGAATTTGTAAAACTGTCGAATTATAAAAATGTGAAGATGTACAAAAAGTATAGTAACATTCATAGTAGTTGCGCTATGAATGATAAAAAGGAACAACACAGCACATTGCAAAAATCCCTGAAAATCACAGCTTAAGAGAAACACAAAAGATTGTCTTGATAAATACAGCCCAGACACGAAGAAGAACTTTGCCCATTGAATGCTAATGATTTTATGGGAGTTAGAAAAACAAATTATGAAATGTAGGTAAATACCCTTACCTAGCTTAGGTGATCCTGCAGATTGATAGGTAGTGTGACCATAGCAGATATCAAAATGTAATGATGATGATAATAATAATAATATTTGAGCATCGAGAGGATATCATGATTGGAGTCTAACTGTCATCGTCATGGAAAAGAAGTATGCGAGCGGATTTCAAATTCCGGCAAAGTCAGTTATGCTCATTTTCCTAGTATTACCTTTGAAAAGAGACATGGGTCCATGTTCTCTCTCTCTCTCTCTCTGCCTTCCTCTCCCCCCTCTCTCTCTCAAACATCTATGCAACAAATGTATTGATAGACTGGGCCCTGGTTTTAGCCAGTTTGCGATAATGATTTGATCCAATAGATTTCACATTAATCAATCATAGGTAATTAAAAAAAAAATCTCTGAAAATCCATGATTGATTGCGTCCTAAAAATATATGTCATTAAAACAATCATGATTAAAGGAAAAGACCGTAGCAAGTAAGTTATGTCGAAGGGGCTTAGGACATAGTGCAACTACAGGAGCATCAACCATATAGACAGAGATTGCATTGCAAAATATTTTCTTTAATGTATTTCGAGTAGTCGTCGCTTTGAATAACGGAGGGGACATAATAACACAATGAAATGGTCGCAAAAAAGAACATTTTTTTAAGTTTTAGATTTAGGTGAGATGAAAGAACAAATTGTGCATTATGCTCAACTTCCATTCTACTTCTAAATAAAGAAAAGTATTTCAGCTGCAAAGAGCGTCGTGTTGCACTTTTATAGTAATCACTACTCAGAAAATTACAGAGTATAAATTCCTTTCGTATCTAACAAGAATAATCAAATTTTCTTTTTAAAAGCTGATTTCTATATCTTTTCTGTGTGCAATCTGGCAATTATAATGAAAGCTTATTAATATTTATAATTTTCCACATAAACTCACATTACGTAGCAGACTGATTCGTTAAATGAGACAACGTAATCTTAAGTATTATTCAATCTATTCATATAAAATAATGGCAATATACGCTTATTTACATACTCGTGATTATGCAAAAAACGTGCCAGCTGGTGTAACGTCAAAACAAGAAACGTCACTTAGGCTGCTTTTATATTTTATAAAAACTGGCATGGTATCGAATATTTAAGCAATTAATCATGTAATATATATATATATATATATATATATATATATATATATATATATATATATTTCAAGTATTAAAATATAAAGAGATATAATATACAGTGAAATTGTTCATGTTATTCAATGACATAATATTATAGAGTAAAAATTTATATATAATGATGATGATGATAATAATAATAATAATAATAATTATTATTATTATTATTGTTATTATTATTATTAATGCATAGACACCGTCGTTTTTATAGAGACATGATCACGTCGATGTCTGCATATCATCTATTATGCCAAGTCTGCATACGATTATGAATTGAGAGTTCTGTACAATCTTGTACATACATCGGACAAGAGATAAATTCTACAGAAAATAATGTGAAAATTCGCATAGCTGAAGCATTAGCAGCCTTGAATAAAATGTACATTTCTGATCTACCAGACAAAATCTTGCAAAGATACTTTCGTGACACGGCAGAGGCGGAGTTAATGTATGGTACCACTGATTAGATATTAACTAAAGTGTAAACCTACTTCGAATGCTGAGAGATATGCTTCACAACTGTTGAAGACAACATAACCAAATCACAACACTATGGACTCATTTAGATTTAATATAATTTTATAGTAGCATCGCTTCCTGTCACAACATATCCATACATGCAGCGAAGATAAACTTAAAATTATGCTAGTATATCAAACAGACAATTACTCTTACTACAAACACAAGAAAAATCTTCATAGAAAAATTAAAACAAGCACTAAACAAATCATATCCCCACACACATAAACGCACACCATACACACACATAGTGGCAAAACATACTAGTCGGGCCGCACAAACAAACACACCATACACGATACATGTAGCTACTGCAGAGATTCCTTTACAATAATATAATACACAGTATATACGTATGGAGAATGAATATATACACACTTACTAGCAAAATCAAACACATTAGACACATAAGAATTTTTTTTGGAGCGTGCGGTCGCAACGCTGAGGATGAATTTGTTTGCGAAGATGTATTCTCGCCATTTAAATCATTGACTTTTATATTTGTTTTTTGTATGAATGATTCATGTAATGTAAATTGAACTGCTCCACATTCTTGATATTAAATTAACTGATCCGACGTACAACTTTTGGATAAAACTGTGACATTCCTGTATTTATTGAACAATTTAGTTCATACCACCTTGACTGAAAAAGCTACCAGTACAAGAATTCTCCTATTACCATATAAGTACAAAAACGCACAATCTTAAAATTAAAAAAAATCAACCTCAACGTTGCGACCGCCCGCTCCAAAAAAAATTCTTACAATTAACAATAACACATTTCTAAAAACATTTTTTCGGATTACATCTATATTTTCGTTGTCCTGTTATTACCGAGAAGTAAAAAATAAAAACAAATCCATTTCTATACCTGAAGATGTCTGTATGAACAAACGAAAGCTTGTAAAAAACTGAAAAAGGTCTTATGTAACTGGAATTTATAAACAGGGATCATAACATTCATCAACAGGTTCGGGGTTAATGTACTTTATTAAATTTGTTTGCGAAGATGCATTCTCGTCATTTAAATCATTAACTGCTATATCTGTTTGTTGTACGAATGATTCATGTTATGTAAATTGAACTGCACCACATACTTGATATATATATAAATAATCTAATGTCATTTTCGAACAAAGTTCGTAGAGAACCATGCCAGATATGTGCTTTCGGAGTTTTGTATTTTGAGCTGTCACTTCCGTCTGTAAAGATCTCAGTGAGAAACTGCATTGTGAGTCCGCTGTGGCAATATGGAATATCATAGTAACGGGATAATATTGTCGTCCGTCCGGATTCTTAGACGAAGATCACTCCGTCAGACGGCATCAGCTGCAGTGGAAATCTTAACAGTACATACAATATATGTAATGAAGGAGAGGCCGTTGCACCAACACAGACCGGCTTCCATACCATAATATTTCGCAAAATGGTAGAGTTCCGTTAGACAGTGAACGTGCCAATGCCACGATTAAAATGACATAATTTGAAGAAATTTTACGATCTTTTCAGTCTGTTGGTGTCGTTGGATGAAGCAATCGATGGGTTATTTGATCCAAGCGAATTTGTATCTCTTCATCTGTATTTCTTTATTTTAATTATATGTTCTATATATCAATGTATCTATCTATTTATTATTTTGTCCCTCACCTAGATTACCCTGTCTGTCTCCCAGTCTCTCTCTCTCTCTCTCTTTTCATATATATATATATATATATATATATATATATATATATATATGTGTGTGTGTATATATATATATATATATATATATATATATATATATATACACAGTACTGTTCAAAAAAGTGACTCAACTGATTTTTTTTTTACATAAACTAACTTTGAATCTTACTAATATAAAGCCCCCTTCCCGACCACCTAGTAAAAAAGTTTACTTGTCCTAAGGTATTCTATTGGTAATTATAATTTTGGATATAAATGAGATTTAGGAAAAACTCTGCAAAAAATGTGACTCACTTATTTCCTGCAACTAGTAATCAATAGAAACATAACCGAACAGCTTTAAATAAAGAATAATGGAGGTATAATTTATCTATAATAGGTAATATAGTTTGAAATATTTAATAATCCATGCGTCCTCCTTTATTTTGAATAAACTTTTCAGCCTTATTTTGGCATTGACTTGATTAAGTTCTGGCAAATATTATTTCCAAGCATTGAATTCCATTCGGATATGAAATTTACAATCGAATCCTCTTTGTTGCTCCACAGTATCCTCCAGCGTCTGTACTTTATAATGCTTCATAAGTTTTCTATGGGGTTGAGGTCAAGAGATTGGAGGGGGGTATGTCATAATACTCACCTACATCTCATCAATGTATTACTTCATCAATTTTGATTTGTGGCAGGGAGCATTATCCTGCATAAAAATGAGCTTGGTGGGGTTGATTTTGCACCCTTTCAGCAGAAGGCAGCAGACAAGACTCTAAAATTCTCTTGTACTGCTCGCTCCTGAGGGTTTTTTCAATAGGTTTTTAGAAACCAGTTCCATGAAAAGAAAAGCAACCCCAGAACATTATACTGAACGGATGCATGCTAGTACTTACTGCTAAATTCAAAGAGCTTTTAAAGTTTCTTCTTTGGATTTTAGACCGCTTATACTTTGAATTTAGCTCAACTTTCGTTTCATCGGAAAAGAGAATATTCTTCCAATCTCCTACGGTGGAATTTTTGTAATAGTGATCCCATTCATGTCTCTTGGCTTTGGTAACTTGACTTATTAGTGGCTTAAACATTCGTGTACAAGATTTGTAGCCTTGTTCTAACAGTCACCGAAGGACTGTTGAAGAGGCAAGACTAACACCTTGCTCTTCGCTTAGACTGGCTGCAAATTTTGGCTAGTTATTGTCCTATTCTTCGCAACTTTTCTGTTGATTACCCTGCCAGTTCTATCATCAATCTTTTTCTTTCGTCCCATTGTTTCCTTCCTTGGAGCAGAAGTAGCATCATTATGTTTTCTAAGCACTCGAGAGACAATTGATTGCGAGGTTATAGCAATTTTTGCAATTTTGTCTCGTAGACTTGCCACTCATTTGAGAGGGCAATGATAGAAGCGTTAAGTGGTTCTGAGTGGCTAATACAAGCTGTATATATACTTTATGTAGTTTTCTGGAATTTAATTTAAGTTGTAGAATTCTCTAGAATATTGTTCTGAGTGTATTGTAAATATAGTTTTCAATATTTTGTCAAAAGCTTCTTAAATTTACCAGTTTAATCATTAGAATGCGATACCTGAGTCACTTTTTTTGCACAGAGTTTTTTTCCTGAATCTCATTTATATCCAAATTTATAATTATCAATAGAATACATTTGGGTGAATAAACTTTTTTCCTAGGTAGTCGGGAAGGGATCTTCATATTAGTAAGATTAATAATTATTTTAACATAAAAAACAATAGGCAAAACATATTTTTAGTAAAAAAATTCAGGTGAGACTTTTATCGAACAGCACTATATATATATATATATATATATATATATATATATATATATGTGTGTGTGTGTGTGTGTGTGTGTGTGTGTGTATCTGATATCACATGTGTTTCTTTCTTTCATTCATCTATTTTTCGCAGTATGTTCATAATCAATTCAGTCTCTATTATCTAGTTTTATCACCGACTATTGTATGAGTATATATTTCTATTGAAGGATTGATTCATCAAACCAACTTAGATATGTAATATAGTATTTTTTTAAACATTTATACATATCAAACAATCTCTTCTTACCTATTTATTCTTACTTAGATATACGTTTTTTTCAGAATAAATAAAACTAATATTGCGTGAGATTAATTATAGTTTGTTTCCTTATACCATATTAACAATTGTAGTATTTAACTTAATCTGCAGTAATACCTTGAATTACTAAGTTACCTCTGAATCACTCCGGTCCAATATGATAATTTCACCAAGTAGCTTTTAGTCAAATGAAGAATGCTCTAAATTTGACCAAGTAACTTTTCAGTCTATTGATGTATGTTCTAAATTTGACCAAGTAACTTTTCAATCTATAGATGAATGGACTAATTTTGACCAAGTAACTTTTCAGTCTATTGATGAATGCTCTAAATTTGACCAAGTAACCTTTCAGTCTATTGATGAATGCTCTAAATTTGACCAAGTAACCTTTCAGTCTATTGATGAATGCTCTAAATTTGACCAAGTAACTTTTCAGTCTATTGATGAATGCTCTAAATTTGACCAAGCAACTTTTCAGTCTATTGATGAATGCTCTAAATTTGACCAAGTAACTTTTCAGTGTCACTGAAAACTCTAAATCGGTGTCTTTGTCGAAATACTAGAAATCGGATTATATTTAACCAGCCGTCTTGTATAATTTGATTCTTATAGAAAATTAATAGTTATTTCGTTCCGTAATATGCATCGGCTCATGTATTTGCAAGCATGAACGGCTATATGTCGAATTTATGAACCTTTCAATATGTATCAGTATGGAAGTTCGGGTAAAGTAAGGGTAAAAATGAATTTGTCAAAACAAAGATAAATATCAATCTGTTATATTTATGGATTTACAACTCAAACAATCAGAAAAATGTGACAAATCTGTGTGTGCGTGTATGTGTGAAGGAGTGTGTGTGTATGTGTGTGTGATAGAAGTATTGCAAAGTTTTATTCTTAGTCCAAAAGACATTATCACTTGAAAATAATAGCCATATGTGTTTGAGATGAATATTTTTCATCGAGGCAAAAGGCTGTTTAATGCTGGACGCAATCTTCAGGCGGCTTGACGATTGCGTCCAGCGTGTAACATCATTTCGTCAGTGAGTGTTGACTTCAATGTTCACTTTTATATTTATAAGTCCTTTGGACGTTCCAAATTTTGAAAATAAATAAATAATTGTTATAATTCTTTTTCTATCCTTTGCAAATGATTCAAATTTTAGTATGTTATTATGGATGATAACGACTATCAGTTGTCAAAATTTCAGCTTTTCACAGTTGTTATTTCTAACAAATATTAGGTTTTTAAAATTTTGTCCTTAGTTTTGGACGCTACTGTATATATGTGTATATATATATATATATATATATATATATATATATATATATATATATATATATACATGCACACACACACACACACACACACATATATATATATATATATATATATATGTTGTAAATGGTTAATTGCTAAAATATTCGGCAATATGTAAAAGATGTGTAAGTGGCGTTTCTTGTTTTGATGTAAAAACAGCTGTCAAATTTGTTGCATAATCATGCATATAAATAAGCGTATGTTGCCATTATTTAATATGAATAGATTGAATAATATAAATATGAATTAGGATCAAATAGAGTTGAAATGTGGATTGGAATCCGAGAGCCATTTAGGATAAAAAACAAATAGGAAACGTATATCAATCTTATGTTTCAAAGTTCTTAAAGCATCATTAGAGAAAAATATACAGTGAAAAAATATGAAATAATTTCTGAAATTGTTTATGTTCTTTCTATTAAAGAATTCAAAGCCTAATTGAAAAAAAAAGCGTAGATATTGCATTATATATATATATATATATATATATATATGTGTGTGTGTGTGTGTGTGTGTGTGTTTGTTTGTGTGTGTGTGTATGTCTGTGTCTGTTTGTGATAATTGTATTTTGTCTATGCGATATTCAGATGCTTAAATGTTTTCATTCTGAAATTAAATACACATATCGAATCCTCTTCTTCTCATTAAAATTAGGCTTAATATAATCTTTCTATTTCTTACAATATTTAATTTTCAGCTAAGAAAATCAAACGGTAAATAATTAAAAGATGAAGAGAAATTATATTGTTGCTTGAATGTGTTATAAACTGAGAAAAAAAAAGAATGGGCGTGAAATTAATAATGGATAAAAATCATTTGATCTCTAATAATATTTATATTGATAGGATTTTTGAACTGCCGCTCTTTGAGAAAGCACAAAATCATAACTTGATAGATCTTAGATGAAGGGAGGTCACTCTATCCAAATATAACTCTCGCATGTTGAAGAAGAAATGAAACAAAATTCAAATAAATAATATTTATAGTAAAATGAATCAATAATAACAAATAAAATACAGCTTTTTATAATTTACAGACTTAGCATTTCCATCAGTCTATATGTTATAAATTAAAGACAAGAAAATAAATTCTTCGTTTCTGGCTCCCAATAACTCTCATTCATTAAAACCCGGTCATCTACGCAAAGATCAGTCATGCATATGTTTAGAAAAGAACCGGATTTTACCGCAAACAACTGGTACGAACTGTCTCCTGTAATTATCACGCTCTTCTTCCGACGAGAGCCCATTTCTATATACACCAACTCACTTGTATATTTATAAATCGGAACGGAATACTTTCACACACACACACACACACACACACACACACACACACATATATATATATATATATATATATATATATATATATGCGACAGATACATTGTCATCTAAATTACAAAAAAATGAAAATAAAAATGACATCTCATTTTAACAGACATATTTAGCAGAATTATACAAATATACCTTGAAATACAAAATACTAAATTTATTCAATAAAATCGACATTGACTTCAAGCAAGGCCTGCAGTCGACTTCGAAATCTGGTGCATCTCTTCTTGACGGATTCCCTGATTAACATGATAAATGCTTCCATAATATTTGACTTTACTTCATCTTTAGTGTTACAAAGAGGTTTTTGGTCTCCCGATCAATTGGAGTTAGGTGGACAGATGTAAGGGATGATATGGTCGCAGAAAATGTCCTCTTGCTTGTTTAGCTTAATGCAGAGACATGTTGCCAGATATTTTGATTTCCAGCAGTCACTCTCTTGACCCAGGGCAGCACTACTTTCTCAAATCACTTGATGTAGTCCTCCGTATTGTATATGAGTACCTCACCACCTGCAGTTCTTATTTATCAAAACGATCAGAGAGATTTTTCAGAGCTGCTGTTTTTGCGATCACAATTAGAGTCATCCAACTTCTTTCTTAATCCTCTCCACTGTCTTCAGATTGTCACCCAAACATTCTGAAATGTATTGGAATGGAGCTTCTGGCGCGGATGCCAAGCAATACGTTTCCAAATTTCTGGCAGAATGATATGCGCTATGGTGATTTCTTTCTCACAGACTGTGCTGCAGTAAGCCTACTATATTGTGCAGTTGACAAAATAAAAAAACAGACAACGTGCATGCGCGAAATTAAAATATAAAATATTAATAGTTTACCTATCACACCTCTCTCTTCTTTATATATATATATATATATATATATATATATATATATATATATATATATATATATATATATATATATGTGTGTGTGTGTGTATAGATAGAGAGTGAGATAATGAAACACCAGACATAGATAGAGATATATATACATGCATGCATTTATACATACATGGCGGTTGTCCGAGTATGCCTGTTACGGAATAACTTTTTGAAGATTATATACTGATGTGTTGAACGAATGTAGCTCTTTGTCCCAGAATACTCTGACACAAACAGGGCAAAGCAGCGGGTGTTACATTATCATTCAATTTAAAATACTGCATTAAAGCGCTTCTGCACCGCTATATCTTACCACAAATATCACATTTCAGATGCTGGACGTCTAAGTTTTTATAGTCAATTTCCTCCTTCCGCCGGTGCGCTTTCAAATGACTCGTTAGACTAGCCATCGACAAACACACTCTACCACAATCTTTACACCTCAGATCGAGCTGCCTGTGGGTGTCTACAGGAAGTTCAACAGAAAGGCTTTATGCATATCTCTTTTAAGCATTGCCTGCCTCTTTTTCTCTCATCTTCTAAGTGAGGCATTCCACTATTAGCAGCCTCATTCCAATTATGGTGATGAGATGCACATTCTTCTCAGTGCTCACAAGAATGTTTGCATTTCTTCAGCGAATCGTTGATGAAGTCTTTAAAGCGTATCTTAGGTTTGGCAGCATTTGTCTTCCCTGTTCGCAGCTCATCATAAAACAATTGCTGTAGAATGCGGCTGTCATCCATTCTGACTGGTGACCTGCCCACCGAAGTTTATGTTTTAGTATCAAGATCTCGACACTATCACAGCCGTTTCTCCATATCGATAACAAACAGTTGCCAGGTAATGCTAAGGATACGGCATAAGCAGCACCGGTGAAATCTCTCAAGCCTTTTCATTTATCTGCGTTAGACCACCCAAGTCTTACAAGCATAAAGGAGTGTTCTAAGCCCACGTGCATGATAGACATTCAGCTTCGTGCTCACTAAAAGTCAGTGCTGAGACTACAGACGTTTATTCAGTTTTTCATATGTGTCACTAGCTTTTTGCATGCGGTTTAAAATTTCCACATCAATGTCACAGAACATGCTCAAAGCGCAAACAACATTCAACATTTTACCATAGACAAAGATGCTTGGTTCAGGATATGGATTCTTTGAAGCTGGTTGTTACATGTCTACTGTCTTTTTCAAACTAATAATCAATCCCAATGCAGTGCATGCATCAGAAAACGCATCCATGTGATGTTGCATATCTCCTTCTTTGTGAGCAACATGCTCGCAATCATCAGCATATAGCAAATCCCTGATCAACGAAAAGTGAACCTTCGACTTTGCATCAAACTTCCTGATGTAAAACAATTTTTCTGATGAAAGATAGCGAATGTAAACGCCAAGGTTGCAGTTGTTAAAGGCCTGTTCAAAAACGATAGAAAAGTACACGGCAGTTAGTGTTGGAGCCGAAATGACATCTGCTTAACTGCATTCTCAAAAGTCAAAGTTTCAGAGAGCTTTCCACTAAAATTAACTCATGCCTTCATATCATCATCCAAAAAGCGATGAAGGGAAAATAACTTTTCGGGATAATCTAGCTTCCTTAAAATATTCTACAAAGCTTTTCTGTTTCCGGTTTTAGATGCCGCTGTCAATTCAACAAAAATCTGGTAAAGATCCATATTTTGCTCGATACACTTCTCTTGCTGTTGAGTGTCTGTGATATCATATCTACGGTGCCATGTCTGCCCTAACGCCAGAAATTGACACCGGAATAGCCTCATTAGCAATGTGGTGCAACAAGCGATCTAGCATCCCTGTCCTCTTGCCTTTGTGCAAAACAACCAAGACAGCATCGTTCCAGTCATCTGGAACACTGTTATTGATCCAGGCATCTAGCAACCACGAATGAATCCGATGTAAAAGACTTTCTCTTCGGTTCTTAAAATCTCGGCACGGAGCCCAACCATTCCAGGAGACATTCCACAATTAAGCTTTCTGACAGAACTTTTAACCTCCTCAAACATTGGATGCTCCACGAGAAAATCTTTAACAGGCTTTTCAGTTATAGACATGATAAACTCTTCGTCAACTTCTGAGTGCCTATTGAGAAGCTCATCAAAATGTTCACGCCAGAATTTCGCTTCTCTTTTGTATACAAACAGATTAATTACATGACAAAATTGCTTCGCACTAAATTTATCGTCCATGGTATGACGAAATCATCGTCAAATTAAAATCTATATTTTGTTGAATAATCGAAAGATTTTCATTCACTTTTTTTTATACAATATTGTAAAACAATTCAAAGTTTAATACTATAATAAAATAATTGTTGCCTTCTAATTCAAAGAAATATATCAGATTAATAATTGATTGATTGATTATTTTTATGGTTTAATGAACACTTTGCAAGATATTGAAATCCAGAAATTATTTTCAGATTGTAAAAATTTGGAGGTGGGGAGATAAAATTATTTCCTGATACTGGTCCTATAATTTAAACTATAGCTAAGGAAGAAGATTTTCCCTAGGCCATTTGCGCATAAGGAAATATAACTAAACAAAACTAAAACTAGGTACTGCGATTAACAATTCTGTGGATTTTATCGTTTACATGATCACGACATCCAAGCTCACATTACCTTGTATTTCCAAGTGGTCATCCATCTAGGCATTGACCATGTTCTATCAGAAGAGTAAGGATGAGGAAAATGACAGATAATTCCTAAACATTGGACTTGTTTAATTCAGCGTAGCATAGCTCTCGAGATTGAAATTCGTATATCACATCAAATTATTTATCAAAGTAAAAAACAAATGCTGGGTCCAGAATATTTTGAGAATCTAGATGCAGTATGATTTCAAACGAATTTTATTCCACCTCAATCGATGAACTGAAGTATCAAATCGACCTTACGACTAAGGACTTTACTTAATCTACATGAATCGAGGTTTCACTGTTTCGTTGATAATGTCTAGTTATTTAGCACTGCTCAGTTATTGCACACATAGAGACAGCAGTGTCCAAGTCTGTTTTACCCAGACAAGAATCAAACTCAATTTTTTTGTTACAAATATCAGGAACCAACACTTAAATCCTAAAAGGTATTTTTGAACGCAGAATGTTGAACCCTAAACCTAAAGTGTTTCGTTCGAAATTTTCTGAAGTTTACCCTGATTGACAGGCATCTGGATCAAGCCGGATGGCACACCAGATAGGGCATTGTGATAATAGCAACAGATTTAATTATATAATTTCGAATATAAATAAGTTTCATGATTACATCTCTTCATAACACATTCAAAGAAATTTAATTTTAAAAATAAGTGACCTTATATCTTCAGCATTTTTGATAGTTAAATGTAGATGATGTATATTTTATTTTCCCGCCTCATATATAAACGACTGACTCCATCGATAGCACTATAAATAGAGTGAAAAAATCGTTTCTCATGATCCAATACGTAACGTATTCTTATATTCCATTTTATCATAGAATGATTTATCTTCCTTTAATAATTTCAACCCAAGAAACACAATAAAGCCCCTTATGCACAAGCGGTTACAGAAAGTAAGAGAATATGAGAGAAAAAAAAACATTATATTAATATGAAAAAAAAACAAAACATTATTGCGTGTCCGAAAAAAAATCGCAAGGTCGCAGTCACTTATTCTACTGGAGTTTAGCATCAGCCATGCTAAATAATGGTACAAATGTTTTCTTTAACAAAAGGAAAGTTTCGTTCTGAAGGCATTAAGGTTAACAGATCTATCTATCTATCTATCTATCTATCTATCTATCTGTAGATGTTTGAAATCTTTTGTATTTTTCAAAGATTTTTTTGTAAATAATTCCGGGCAACGCTGGGTATCTCTAGTGAAAAATAAATATAAAAAAAAGAGTACCATGAGCAGAAAGAAGAGAGAAGCCTTTGTGCATTACGTGCTGGTATCGTTGGTTTTGGCAAAATTGCCACACATGCCTGTTTGGTTCGTTTCTCGTTTCTCAAATAGAGGCCTCACCAGCGGGGCCAGCCGTATACTTCTCCCCCCTCCAATATCCACCCGATAACAATTTGCATCATCTGTGTTCGCTGGCGGGCGTTGGCGATGTTGTGGAAAGAGCACGTGCGCTCCTGGTTCGTTTTTCCCCGCCTTTGCCGCGACAATGTGCTGGAAAATAATCTATACACACAGTTACATACACATATACATACACACGAACACCTGAGAGAGAGAGAGAGAGACAGAGAGAGAGAGAGAGAGAGAGTGAGTGGAAGAGAGAGAGATAGAGAGAGAGACAGCCTGAGAAACTGACTCGATGATGTTTTCTACTCTCAGCAACACAAACCAATATAAAATTGTAAAGAAATACGACAAATTAGTCAAAGAAATAAGAATAGAGAGAAAAAAAATCCTTTTTTTGCTGCTTCTTATTTTTGTTGATCGGAACGCGTTTGATAATATCCGTACAGGCTTTGCTTGCCTTTTCTCTTGTTCGAGGGGACATGAGGCTCATTTTAAAGAGCCTACCTACTTTAGGAGATTTCTGATTCTGGAGAACAAAAGCAGAAACATTTACGGATATACAACGAACGTAAAAAAGTGTGTACAACAGTGTTAATCGAATATTTTATATTAGTTATTTTCTAAGTTTTTTACTTCATTCGGTATTTCTTTTTTCGATTTCATTAATTCATCTTATTCCTTCTCGATTTACTTCAGACTATTTCTCGTTTATTCGCTCCTTCATTTGCTCACGCTTGCGTTTTATTTCTTCCTCATTCTTTTCCCCTATTTACCTTCAATAAATTTATATTCTTCTTTACTCATTATCCAGTTTCCCCGTTAATCTTTCTTTCTAATTCTTCATCTTTTTATTCACTTCATTCCTTTTTTGTATTCCTCACCTTTTTTATAAATATATTTCAGAATCCTTTTCCGTCGAATAATTTTATTACATTATCCCATTTCTCTTCTAGTTTTTCTTCAGTATCGATCATATTTATTCTCGTTTTCATTCATTGTGTCTGTTTATATCTCTCATTCTCTTTTTCTTTCCCTTCCCTTTCATTCTCTCTAATATTGACTCTCTTTTCCCGTCATTATTTTTATACTAATTTATTTTACATATTCGTTATCTTTCAATTTCTCATTTATTCTCTAGCGCATTCTTTCTTTCTTTCTTTCTTTCTTTCTTTCTTTCTTTCTTCTACTCCTCATTTTCTATTCATTCTATTTATCTAACATTCTCTTTCTTACTAATACTTTCTCATATTCGTTATGTTTCTCTACCATTTTCTTTAACTTCATCCCTTTTCTTTCTCAATCTTTATCCTATTCTTTCTTTTATCTTTCATTATTTATTAGATTACTCATCTACTTCAATTTCCCTTTCTTTTTCACTCTCACTTTCTTTCTCATTCCCTAATCCTTGGCCATCCTTTGTGTCGCAATTTTATTCCTTGCAGTAATTTCGTTACTTTTTCTCTTGATTTTTTTTTGTTTTTTTTCTCCTCCGCTTTTTTTTTTATTCCAATTCTTGTGTTAAACGCATGGAATTGTACAATGTGCTGATCTATTCACAAATCCTTGTTCGCTAAGGACGTAGCCAGAATCCACGTTCTTTGTAGCAATGTTATGGAGCCGAGAAGAAATAGATTCGTTCATGCAACAATAGTCGGTTCGGATCGCCATTCTTTACAAGAAAATTAGTACACATGTTTTTCTTGCGATCTCAAGCTTCTCGATTCAGAAAACGAGTTTATCTGATAATCAAGCATAATTTAAAGATAATCAAATGGATTAAGCTAATCCCATTAGTCCGTATACTCACTGACAATCAAATCCAAATCATTTAGCTTTAGCCTTAAAAAATAAAAGAGAGTATTGTACACTACGATTTCAATAGTTCTTTACAAAGTTGTGTATTGTCCGTAATAACAACAGATTAACTGAGTGCTCGCTTACAACTGAACATACTAAACAAGCAAAATGATCTGCGGAAAGATCTTGTTACCAATCGTATTACGGTAGGTAACCAGATCAAAATAAACGCATCCAAAGAAAGATTAAGAGACACCTAGTGAAGATCTCTCTGGAAAATATAGCGATTTACAGATAAGATTAAAGTTTTATTATCATTCCGTTACATTGTGCTCTTTGTAAAATGTCTTTCAGAAATTGTTGTCACACCTTTTTATTTTAAAGTTTCAATTTTATACATGCATTGAAATTTATCAATATGAAATTCATTAGTTTTGAATTGATGACGTCTCTTTTCTCATCGATAAAAGTTTGGATAAAAGGAACAAGAGCCTGTGAAATAATTAGATTTTTTTCTGTTTCGGCTTTTCTATAGATTGATTGGAGTTGTTTTTTTTTTCTTTTCAAGTCTTTCAAACAATTGGCGTTTTATTTAAAACCGAAACATATTTTGGTTTATAAGAATTCTTCTTTCATGTGTGAGCAAAAATTTATGAAGAGATTGATCTTATAATATAATGATTTATCTAGATACAAGTTCAATATTTTTTCCATATAAGTAGAGAATGAATACTGTCTTCTCCAAAATATCGAAAGATATTCCCCCGTAAGTGTATGAGAGGAACTAGACTGGAATATGAACCCGGCTCTATGATATCAGGAGTTACTATCCATTACAACAACGCAACATCTAGAAAAATATGCATGAAAGATTGGCAACCAGATGAATCAACTTGAAATTCTTTGTTGTATAAATACCTGTGCTTGATTTGATGAAAGGAACAGACAGAAACACTCCTAGTTTGCTTTTAACTTAGAAACTTTACTGACTTTCTATTACTTTGAAAAAAGTTTTTTTCATTTAATGTTTTATATCTTTCTATCTTATGATTATTTATTAATCTCAGTCTGTTAGTATCGGTGTGTAGAAACCATTTTTTGTTTATCTCGATATCGATATGATTATTATATTTATCATTTCATTTGATATTTCGTTCATATCTCTTCCAGTTTGTTTATGTTAAGTCTATTTATCTTCGAACGTATATTCGTATTTTCAGTCTGTTCATATATCAGAATTTTGATAATTACATTATTTGTATCTCTCTCTATATATATATATATATATATATATATATATATATATATATATGGATGCATAAAAGTGAACATGGAGGCCAACAATTAGAGGCGGCAGTCTGTTTCATGCGAGACGAAATCGTCAGGCCACTTAGCGTGATGATTGCGTCTAGAATGAAACAGTCGGTCGCCTCTAAGTTTTGACTTATGTTTCTTTATATTTACACACGCTCTATCTTTGATATTGAGCACATTATCCCAAAATATAGCACAACTTAAGACTATATTTCTTCATGTATATATATATACATACATATATATATATATATATATATATATATATATATATATATATATATATATATATATATATATATATATATATATATATATATATATGTATATGTATATATATGTATGTATATATATATATATATATATATATATATATATATATATATATATATATTTACGTATATATTAATACACATTACAATTCAAAAAGTTTCAAACTCCTCGTGCTTTTTAAATTGGTACAAAACGTAGTTGCAGTTTACTTTAAAGAGAAGAAAATTATTATATATGTTTAAAAAAAGTGAGACAAGCTTTTTAGTAGAAATTTCATTATGTGACAAAAAAAAAGAAAAGCTTTTTTATGATTAAATTTTGTTCTCGTAGAAATATCCTCTTTTAACACTGATTATTGCAGTACAATTTTTTTTGACATTATTTGTAAAAGATTCATAAAGGATGTGATTCATCACATAACATTCTTTATTTTAATATCAGTAAGAGCTCTATATCATTCCTTCAATCTTCTGTCAAGTCTATGCTAACTGGATGCTAATTTTGGAGTTCTTTCAAACTTTTTGAATGAAAATATATATATATATATATATATATATATATATATATATATATATATATATATATATATAAACACAAACACACATCCATATCCATATATATATATAACTGCAGTGTAAGTATCACATCAATTCATAAAATAAATACTATTTAGCCTTTAAACTTGTATATGTAAATCCACTCTTTAGTATTGTCGGCGTTAGACCGGCAAAGTTTGTATCGTATTTAAAATATTCTAAACATACTGATATAAGAATTATATATACATATATATAAATATATGTTCATATATATATATATATATATATATATATATATATATATATATGATGACGCTACTTTAGTTATTGACGCGTTTCGTCCAATGTGGACTTTCTCAAAAGCAAAAAGAAAAGTTCACATTGGACGAAACGCGTCGCAATGACTACAGTTTCTTATTGTTATTTATAGTCATAAATATTGTATTTTCTACATATTAACTGTGAGAAATTTTCATATATATATATATATATATATATATATATATATATATATATATATATATATATATATATATATATATATGGGCACCTCGAGACGGTGTAATGTTTAACGAGTTCGATCCCCACTAGGTGCCCCCCTACTTTCGGCCCTGTGCTACATCTAAGCTATGCTTGTAAATCACTATACGAGCTATTGTTCCCATGCAAAACATATCAGTAAATACCTTGTTCTCATTTTAAAAGTAAAAAATTTGAAACAACTGAAATGATGCAAGTCCACTGAGATTTAAATATATATATTGACGGACAGCTGAAGTAAGGAAGACCAAAAATGACAATATCGGATATTACACACAAACAAAAACATACTTAAAACGTGGAAATGTCATCGCACGATGGAAAATTGTCTATTGTTTATATCTTAGCCTGTTCCTTTTCTTATCTGTTTGTCCATTCATTAATTCATTCATTTTTATTTCCGTATGCTCATGGGTATTTATACCAATTTTCTTACTGATACATTTGATTATATTCATCAGTCAATGGCCGATTGTTTACAAATTTCATCGGATTAGATTAAGTGTCCTAAATTCCAGTTTTCTGATATAACGGAAATAGAATCAGTATCAATGCTGATTTCCGTAGGTTTATCTCAACCACCAAACACGTATTTATGTTTCATCAGCATTTTTAAATAGAAATAATATAATTATTGAATAGCAGAATTATTCTAAAAATCTGTAAAATATGACGAATTTGTTTATTAATGATACAGAATTGGTCAATTTGTAAAAGCACATCTTTATTTGTTAATAGGAAAAATATAATAACAAGAAAAATGTCAATATTTCTAGCTAAGGTATTCTAGCTTTTTACACTATTTAAATTATTCGAACTTTACGCAAAGAGCAGTGAGTTCAATACCTGGCCACAGCAGAAGTGAACAAATAACTTGGAGAGTTGTTTTACTAAAGTGAATTACCTGAAATTGACATATTCAGAAAAGATATGACAATTGAAAATAGAACAATATGCCCCCGTTCTCTAAATAAAATTTCTGTTAGAAAATCATCTGAAGCAGGCCGGGGCGTACGACTGATACGTCGTGAATAGAAAATAAGGATAAAGACAACATTCCGAACAATGTAAATAGTTTAAATAATTAAAAAAAAAAGAATATACTTTATTTAGTCGGGTAAGATGAGGTACTGATAAAAGTACTTACTGAGAAAATTTCAATTATAAAAATACAGAACACATATCTATTCTAAGATGTAAATCGATGTAAAATCAATCAGACAACATCCTATAATTAACAGATATTACATGATATCAATAAGCGAATATGTGTTTTCATGTCCTAAAATATTGCATTCTTAAGTAATTAAAACAGCTTTTAATATATATTTATTTTTTCTTCCTCTTAGCTTTATTTTGATATATTTTTATCCTAATGTTTTAAAAGGCGTAATTCGTTCTCAAATGCAACAATCGAGATACGTGTAAAGATAAAATTAATAGGTTGTCAGTGCAGAAAATATATCCAATATAACGGCAATTTTACTTAAAATACCATCAATTTCTGACATGCATATAAACTAGTATTCTGATAATATCTAAGTATTTTATTTAAAAACTAACTAATAACAATCTATGTTTGTCCACTAAGAGCCATGTACACATATACATGTGCATCGGGAAGGAAATATACAAGTACGTACACACACGTGTGTGAGAGTGAGAGCGTGTTTCAAAGACAGAATGTGTTTGTGTGTGCAAATCTGTAGGCATGGGAAAAAAGGTTTTGATGGATTGAACCGAATTTGGCACGCCCAGGATTTTTCCCGCCACTAATGCCAAAAACATACTGGGTTTACGATAAATTGTTGTTGGAGTAAAAAGAAAACAAAACAAAAAACAACGCACTTTATTCTGTTTCTTTCGAGTAAACGCAATAAAAATCGAAATTATTTACAGTTCGTTTCTATTTAAATAAATACCAACGTAAGATTTTATTACACTTCAATAAATTTTGCTGTAAAACGTGTTTACTTTTCTCA